GGGGCATAAAAATGCCCCCTTCCCCCGGGCGGGGGCTGTTCCCCTGGGCAGCCCCTCTGCTCTCACTCCGCTCTACCTCGAAATAAAAGATGTCTAACATAAATACAAAATATTTTGTGTTATCTGTTGGCAATTGACTATCACCAGAAAGGTGGTGCTTTCACAGCAGCGTTTCCAAAGGCAGCTTTTCAGTTACAAAGAATTACATTGTCGTCAATGCAGCATTAACTCATTCAAACCAACATTAAATTGGCTGACGATACCGCATGGGCTTCGTATCTTTAATTTGCCCGTTGTCAACACAAGAAAATTCCACGCCCTGCACCCAGGTGCTCTCTGCATTACAGCCCGTAGTCACACACACACTCTGCACCGTGTTGGATTTAATTCTGAGATTATAAAATCTTCATTAAATCTATCTTATAAAGTGTTTATAGGTATTTTTTCAGCTTCCAGAGAGTAACCCAAGGTTATGCACTTTTTTTTGCACAAGGCAATCTCACAACAGGAAACTAATCTTGACAAATGACCAGACTTTGATATCTGTGATCTAAAACACTGCTCATTAGACTGTTCATTTTATAAACGAATGGTAATAAACCTGTTGAGAAGTGCAGGATAGCAGGAATACTTTACAGATCACCCCTTTACAGGTTTCAATCAAAGCCATAAATTTGAAGGAGGGCATGCAGATATGCTGAGCTGAGACAAAGACTGTCCCGCACCAACCACATTTAAAGAAGTATTTCTTTTGCTTTCTATACATTTTACAAATAATTTGCATAACTGACTTTTTACCCCCATGGCTGATTATCTCCAGCTCTCCTAAGTTAATGTCAAACCTCAAAATCCTTGGACTTGTTAAAGTATGTGGAGAGTGGAAATCAAATGCCTTTATTAGAAGCCCCAGGAAATCTCCGACTCCTAAGCACAACGAAAACATTCCAAAGAAAATTGTTCAAAGAGGACAAAGGAGAAAAGCAGAACAAGAAAACCTTGTTTTGAATCAACGATTGCAAGAGTTTTATAAATAAATTCTGTTGCCTCGACAATTCTGAAAGACAACTCAATAGGTTTAGGAGTTTTTAAGTGTGTTTGCTTCTATGCCTGAAACACTTGGGGGATTCAGCTGAGCTAAAGCTTGGAACAATGGCCTGTCTGTCTGTCCCAGTATTTGTAATAATCGCTGAGAAGCGACTTTACAGTACTAGATAGTCAAAAAATATTCACCAGCTAAAACTGGGTGAACTTAACAAATTAATTATGCATATATTTTAGGGGGCAATGAAAACGCTGAGACGTGTGGTCCTGTCTTTAAACAGTAGATGAAAATGTTCACCAGCAGAAGAGGCCATAAAGACTTTATTTGTTAGAATATCCCTGTGAAGTCGGGCTGAATCTGTAATCCTTAGAAACAACCACAGTTACATGATCCATTGTGCCTTCCTGCATGGGCACAACCATCTGGTGTTTAATATCTACCACTGATTTATTATCTCTCGCGCAGTTATCTTGCAGTAAGTTTGACCCTGCTCTGCTCCCGAGAATCACGGTTCTGCTGTTTGCTCTTCTGCCTCCTGACAACCCACCCTTTACCTTCCCATCGCTCGCCAGGCCCTTCATTTCCTCCTGTCTGTGGGCAAATAGGTTTTAATTGTTTTATTATAACTAATTTAATCAGTGCTGAGAGATCTCCATGTGCAGTGCAAAATTTGCTGTTCATATTAAGTGTGGTTCAAGAGGTTTGTTACACAGGACAGAGGTATAAAAATAGACTAATTCTGTCAGGTTGTTTATTTACTGGACGGCTGCCATGGAGCAGTAAATAGGAAGTTATTAAACCATGTTTGATATATGCAAGAGGACAGATGCTGACATCTACCTATCGGAGACATTAAATCCTTTTCCTTTCTGTGTTATTCTGACATTATGTGTTGCAAGAAACCACCACAGATACCTGACTTTTCTT